GGATAGTTACCTTAGGTAACCTTTGCTTGTCATGTTTGGTTGGGTGGTCGTTGCTGTGTCTGAAACTGTGTCTTTTATTAAATTAATATCGTACATAAACCTGTATACTGTCTTGAAAGCCACACTCCTCATGTATATAGAGGATATAAAAAGATTTCTCAGCAAAATTGACCTCTCAGAGGCAAAGAAAATTGCAGTGGAAGACACATTATTATGTAGCCATATCTGAGCCCTAGATCTTTGGAGAGTCTCACTCCACTGTCCTCTAGTTTTTCCTTATAAACCAAAATGGCTTACAAATGTCATCCACAATAGTCCAATAAAGATTAGGAACAATGCACTGTTCTTACATTGATGAGATAAGAAAGATTTAACTGTAGAATGCAGTGTATAAGAACAGTTCATAAGGTTTGCTCTTGAATCAGAAAAATAGGATTCAAATTATATTTGTGTGTGTCTAGAATTTAATTGAGATGATCAGTTTATTTTCTACATAATCTTTAATCAGATGCCTGCACTACAGAGCTAGATAAAAAGAAAAGAAACAAAACAAATTCTATCAGGGAAATCAAGAAGACCCATTATCTACAGGGTGAGCAAAATATGTCAGGAGATAATTCTACTCCATGCACCGAGAATGCCCAGTTAATAAAAAAAGATCAGCCACTCGCAAAGAGAAAATAATTGTCTCTATCCGTATTTTTCAAAGTAAAAAGGCAGTCACATATTACACTAAATAGGACACATTAAAATAAGCTTTAATAATCTTGACGCAGAAAGAAACTAATCCATTTTCAGATCATACGATCCACAGCAATAAAAGGAAATCATCAAACTAAAAACAATTTTAGAAATGGCTGCAGACTCTCATTTAATTAACATGCAACAGATCATATATTTATGAGGAAGTCAAAATATTTAGGAAGCCTATAATCCTGTAAGCCTTAATGTGGTATAAAAACAACAAATAAATGCAAAGTGTTACTGTTACACATGCCTGCCTGATCAATGGTTTTCACATATTGATCTATAAATGGAGTTGACAGTCTGTGTTGGCTGTACATTTTCCAAGCAGTGCTATTTTTGCACAAAACCAATACGGGCAATTACCTTTGTTTGAGATGCCAACTCTTATCAATTCAATGTGATTTAGTGTCATTTTAATTAAATATCAGGATCCACTTCAGGACAATTTATACAAACAAAGCCTCAAACCTAACTATAAGCTTGATTTGAAGTAAACATGGACAAGCCCTACAATCTCATAATATTTCTCAAAAACTCTTCTAAACAGAAGGCTTATATTTTTAGTAGCAATTTTGTGTCTGCCTTTTTGGCTAGCCACAACTTTGGCAAGTATCCTACAATCACAGAAGTAAGAAACAAAAGAAAATTGTTTCCTTTCTTCCCCCTCTGATAATACATTAAGGAGAAAAACGAACACATGCTGTCTGCCACTGGAAGTAAAAAGTCTCATATGTTAATGTTCAGGAAAGGCTCCGCCGAAGTCTATATCTGAACACTGATAGAAAGACATGCTCCTGTTTATGATGGCTGTGAACGAAGTGGTGCCCTTCTGCGGCATTCATAGGATGGAAGTAGTGAATATTCATATGTGCTACCGCTTGAGCCACTAGCATTAAATGCCTTAACTGCTCCTGCCTGCAAATCCTGTGTCTGCAGTTTCACAACTTGGACTGTTCAAATTGTTCATTAATATATCTTCTAAATTGTCTGGTAGGCTGCAGCATCCCTCGTGGTAGTCCTATCAAAGCTATATTAACCCTTTTTCATTAGCAAGTTGCTAGATCACACACTCACCATTTTCACCCCTCAGTCACACTTGCTCCGATTCACTTGCACTCAGCTTTCAGTTTTCTGTTTGACACATTTTGGTGAATAATTTGCCTGCCTTTAAGAGGTCTCTGGTGCTTAGGGTCACACAACAATTCACAGAGGCCAAAAGTCTTTCCCCTCCTCACCAAGTGGAGCACTCCATTCTCTCACAGGCGATTTCATCGCATGTCACATCTCCCTAGTTGAAAATCCCCAGCTCTCCAACATGTCCCAGGAAGCAAGTAACCATCCTGAACTTTGAAAAGGCATCCATCTTATTCGACCTTCAATGAAAAGGATGCCTACTGCCGATCAATTATCACTGAAGCATCAATAACTTTTACTAACATATTTCTTCACAACATTGAAGTTACACAAATTCATAATTTAACAAGTAAATTCATCTGTGATTATATAACTTGAGAGGCAATAAAATTTGTATTGGCATTTCAAAATATTTTATGATTTTAAGATGCTAAGAATAGAGGCTCTTATGGTGTATATTTTTCTTACACATACATACACAGAAAATGCATAAATATGTAAAATATAAATTTCAGATTTAGTCATTTAAAATACTTTAATTGAAAAACATGAAAGAATAATTTATGAATTAATAGAAAAATATTTGATGGATACGATCCTTGGACATTTTTTTCATTTTTTTGAATAAGTAAAATCATTAGGAATGTAGTATCAGATTTTGGTGTTATAATATAGACCAATGGGTAGATACTAGATTTGTATATTTTTCCTAATGAATAAGTAGCACGTGTGTGTGTCCATATATATATATATATATCCAATGAATTAAACAGGTTGTCAAATATAGTCTTTAAGTGCTCAGTATTTTTCTGTGTAGATTTTGTGTACTGCTGTTTCTGTTACAACAAATCATGCTTCATGTGAATGCCTGCCTACATTTTCAGTATACATCTCTTTCCACTCTCCTAAATTCAATCTCCCCCTTGACCTCACCCCGCCACCCAGCTTCTGAAAAATCAAGTTCTTAGTTTAGCTTGAGAAGATAACTTTAACAGGCTTGTTTGAATAAATATGCCAAAATACTTTACATTCTGTCAGTATCTAGTCAGAAAATTGTGCATGGAAAAAAGAGATGAAAAGAACTGAGACAGAAAGAAAATTAGTGCCATGGCAAGCTTTCAATACAGTATCTCGGAGCCAAGTTTTCTCAGTGAAATGACATATCCTCACTAAAATATCCCTTTTATATAATTATGCACTGAGCACACATCACCAAAAGTAACTTTTATTTTTGTTCCTTATCGAGGAATACATATTGCCCAGGCTAAGAATGCGGAAACAAAAGCTGGGATAATTATAGCTAATTTCACTTTGGAAAACTCTTATTCTCGAGTAGTCCAGCATACAACCCCCCAAACTAAAGTTATGTAACAAGGTAATATCAACAATGAGAAACTGCATGATAAAATCCTGCCCAAAAGTGAAAAATGCTAATTTTGTCTCATTTAGCAGCTGGATACAGAAATGCTCATTAGTTTTAAGAGGGTTAATCCTTTTAACTTTTGCATATTGATATGCCAATTATGCCTAATTGTACAAGAGGCATCAGTCAAGGTAATAGTGCATAAACACATGAAAGTTATTAAGTACATCCCAACATGTAATAAAGTAGGTGTTAATTGGTAGCTGAGTTCTGCGGGCTATTGAGGTGGATAATTCATTGAGAGATGGATCACTTGTAATTTCTCTCCATAATTCCTTTTGCAGTCTCATGCTGTGATGTTTTCATGCTTGTCAAAAACAACTGCGGCATAGTGCCTTTTGTTAAACACATCCAATAAAATATGTTAGGCATCATTAAATATACTTAACTTTTAAACTTTTTCAAAGGTACAGTTCTTACTGATAATACATTATAGGGATTCCAATAATTTACTCTAACCACTGTCTCAAGTTCATGGTTGAGGAACATTTTAGCTGGTTTAAAGTCAGAGTCAGGCAAGTAGTGTTGTGCCTCCCTGCAGACAATTCTTTTAAATGAGTAAGTAAATAAAGCAAAAATGCATCTCTCATTAGTAATCTTATCTAAAGGATGTATTTCTCAGTCCTCCGAAATAATCACTGGCTTCTCCATGCTAAATTTGTCTACAACACCTGAGGAAAGAGTGATTAAAACCATTCATTTCTGAAGCTCCTGAGATTGCTGTGAGTTCATGTTGCACTTGAAATTCGAGTGAAAAATGGGGAATCAGTATAATCAGTAACATGATACTCAGCAAGTTTATCTCATTTAATAACTCAGTTAGGAAGCTGAATATTTCATAGGCCCCCACGATATTAGCAGAAGACTCAATTAATAGCTCACATGTTTCTGCAGGGTGACTGGGATTCACAGCCTGTCCCCAGCTAACCTATTTCTTGCTCTTGTTCTCACTATGCAAAACAAAATAGATCTGGGGTCCAAAAGAGTGGCTAACATTGCATAAATAATTTTGTAACATCCTATGGCCTCAGCTGCAAGTTACCACCATTATGGAAGAAAATTAACCAGAGGAGACTCATCGCAATCATTGGGTTTAGTGGCTCAGGATGCGTGCAGGGCCAGGGACACAATTGGCAATAGAGTTCATCTCTAACTATTTTATTTCAAATCTTCCTAATGACACATTATCAAGACAAAATGGCTTCCTCTCCAAACCTTAAATAGCCATGCCATTTCAGTTGTTTAAGTCCATTCCAAATGAAATCATCATTTCTGCTTTCATATATTACTGGTAGATTTTAAAGAAGAGATTTTCACATTTTTAAAATGATTTTTTTTCTCAGTTCATTCTTAGCTAATTTTAGCCTCTGGCTTTTCAAAGTGATGTACTGTATTTGGAAGTACAAACACCACATGCTAGCATAACCTCATTATTTTTATGACACTGAAGCATGATAGTAGAGGCCCTTAAAATGAGTCAAAGGTGCTCTTCAGTCTAGCTCCAAATCCACTTTATCACTCTGGATTAAACCCAGCTCGTCTCTTGCAACTGGGGTCATTATTGCAACTGTAAGTAGGCAAGAAAAAATGCATTACAAAAACAGTTTTCTCATGCACATTAGAAAAACAAGTAAGACAAGTATAGTTACATTCTTTTTAAAAAATCCGTAATGACAGGGTACTTGCAGTGACTTACAGGTTCAGTGACCTTCCCAGCATCAGTGAGGATCATGGATTTACTTTGGCTCAGCCTGTCGTGGTGGCTGTTGGCATTTTTGATTCTCATTTGCACAGCTCCCGTGCCTTGGTGGGAAGAGCTCAGTGTTTCCATAGAAGTATCAACATTTGTAGATTTCTGCATATTACAAGGTTATCCTGTTAAAACACACAAGTATGTCACAAATACGTTTTTTTTTTTATAGAAAAACAGTGCAATGCATGCCCTGATCAATCAATCATTAGGATTGTGATATTCAATAAATAAAAGTACTTGCACCTCTTGAGTAGAGAAGCAGCAACAGGTTTTGTTTGTTTGTTTGTTTGTTTCAAAGATTTATTTATTTTTATTGGAAATTCAGATATGCAGAGAGAAGAGATAGAAACATCTTCCGTCCACTGATTCACTCCCCAAGTGGTTGCAACAGCCTAAGCTGAGCTGATCTGAAGCCAGGAGCCAGGAGCTTCTTCCAGGTCTCCCTCTCAGGTGCAGGGACCCAAGGCTTTGGGCTGTCCTCGACTGCTCTCCCAGGCCACAAGCAGGTAGCTGGATGGGAAGTAGAGCCACTGGGATTAGAACTGGTACACATATGAGACCCTGGGTATGTGCAAGGCAAAGACTTTCACGGCCTGGCCATTACACCAGGGCTACAACTGGGCTTTCGGATTCCTTTCTTTTCCTAAATACATGCTACCAATGACCAACAAATTATATTCTTAAAATAATAAGAGAGAGAGATTATCTTCCATTCAGTGGTTCAGTGCCCAGATGGTTACAACAAGTGGAGCTGGGTCTGGCCAAAGCCAGGCGCCAGGAGCTCCATTTAGATCTTTCCATGCTGGTGCAGGGACTCGAGCATTTGGGCCATCTTCTGCTGTCTTTCTATACACATTAACAGAGCTAAGTTGTAAGTGGAGCAGATGGGACTCAAACCTGTGTTAGTGTCAGTATGGGATGCCAACGTTTCAAGCCGTGGTTTAATTACATGTGTCCCAATACCAGCACATTAAGGAATTACCAGAGCAATGTGATACAGCCTACCATTTCTAGAAATGATATTGTTAAATAGTAATCCTCAGGATATATGACGATTTTTACAAAAAATTCACAGGTTCACTGATTTATCACACATTCCCACATACTACCACTAGATGCTTTTTTGTTGTTGTTGTTAACTAAATCCATGTAAATATGATCAAATTTAAGTGAATGGAATTGGAGTGAGCCAGAACAGATCCTACAATCCTATCTGTATTTATAATATCCACTGAGGTAAAATAAAATGCTAGCATCTCTTGCCATGTGCCAACTCAAATAGCTCTGTTAGCATGACTGGATATAATCTTCATGAAGAAAATTAAAAATATCAATATTTTTAATTTATTTTTATGTATTTATTTTAATGTATTTTGTTAGTAGAAGTCTTTCAGGCTAGAAAATCAGTGTATGTAACACTTTATGGAAGCAGCAGTGAGGGGAAATATTAGGGAAAGGAAAATCAAATTTTAATCCTTTTCAGCTGTCGCTCCCCTGAGTCTCCTCCCAAGAACATGTCATCTCATTAAAAACTAAACACCTGCAATGCGGGCACACCCTGTGAGTGCTAAGAAACAGATGTCATTCTAGCTTGACTGTTGTCTCAAAGTCTTACCTACATTCCATACTAGGCCCTGTGCACAGGAGCAACACAATGGACAAAGTCATGGCAACTCAATTGAACCCAGAAAAATGATCATGTTTTAAGAAGTCAGTTGAATTGGCACCTCACTGTTAGACAACAAAGATTACAATATCTTGTAATGGGGAGCCTGGCGCGATAGCATACTGGATAAAGTCGTTGCCTTGTACACACTCGAATCCCACATGGTTGCTGGTTCTAATCCTGGAAGCCCCGCTTCCCATCCAGCTCCCTGCTTGTGACCTGGGAAAGCAGTAGAGGATGGCCCAAAGCCTTGGGGCACTGCACCCATGTGGGAGACCTGGGGGAGCTCCTGGCTTCGGGCTTTGGATTGGCTCAGCTCCAGCCGTTGTGGCCACTTGGGGAGTAAACCATTGGACTGAAGATTTTCCTCTTTGTCGCTTCTCCTCTCTGAACATCCACCTTTCCAATAAAAATAAATAAATATTTTTTTAAAAAAGCAAAAAGAATATCTTATAATGGTAGAGCTGGGTGGATACCAAAATGATTCGGGGTGAGGGGTATCTTCTTCTTTTTTTTAAAAATAAAGGATTTATTTTATTTTTTAAAAAGATTTATTTATTTTTATATATGGAGAAGAGAAGCGACATAGAGGAAGATCTTCTGTCCATTGATTCACTCCCCAAGTGACTGCTACAGCTGGTGCTGCATTGATCCGAAGCCAGGAGCCAGGAACTTCTTCCAGGTCGCCCATGCTGTTGCAGGGTCCCAAGGCTGTGGCCATCCTGGACGGCTTTCCCAGACCACAAGCAGGGAGCTGGATGGGAAGTTGTGTGGGATGCTAGCATGGTAGATAGCAAGTTAATATGTTACACCACAATATAAACCCCACAAACATTTTAATAAGAAAGAGAAGTATTGCCTCATAGTGAATAATTATAGCAATTGGACGACAATTTGGAAAGTAAATTAATATTAACTGTATACTACATACTAGTCAGAGTGCTGAGTGGTTTAATCTTTACAAAATTCCTATGGTATTAAACTTATGTTGTTATAGATGAGATTATTAGAATCAGAAACTATTTTCCCAAAGACAATGGAAGAAAAGGGAACATAAATGCGTATTTCCCATCGCAAAAGCATCCAAATGTTCATCAACAGATACACTGTAGTCTACTAAACTAAAATACTTGGTGATGAATATAACCACATGAATAAATGGCAACCAGTTCTTGCTAAGTGAATACAGTCACCATGAAAAACCATGAAACAACTATTTGGGGCTGGGTGTGGTAGCCTAGTGGCTAAAGTCTTTGCTTTGTATACACCAGAAACTCATATGGGTACCAGTTTGTGTCCTGGTGGCCCCACTTGCCATCCAGCTTCCTGCTTGTGGCCTGGGAAAGCAGTCCAGGATGGCCCAAAGCACTGGGACCCTGCATCTGCGTGGGAGATCTGGAAGAAGCTCCTGGCTCCTGGTTTCAGATCAGCTCAACTTTGGCCATTGTCGCCATTTGGGAAGTGAACCAGCAGATGGAAGATCTTTCTCTTTGTCTCTTCTCCTCTCTGCATATCTGTCTTTCCAATAAAACAAATTTCTTTTTGAAAAAAAAAACCAACTATTTGCCATTTTAATTACATGATATTCTAAAAATATCAAAGTAATATGTGACAAAGTTAATCATGATTGCTTAGGCAGAAGGAAGCAGGGAAACTTTGAATGTTATGAGTGTCTTTATTATCCTAATTGTGGTCCAGATTTCACAGGCACATACTTATATTAAAAATGAACATTGCACAATTTGCACTCATACTGTATGATAATTCAATTAACTAGCAAAGCAAAAATTTTAAAAGTTGATTTAGCAATTCCTTCCCAAATTTGTTTTGCATCCATCTTCATTTTTAGGTGCATGCATGAGGGAAATATCCTAAAATACTATCTAATTGAGACTAAAATAGTTCTTGGTAAGTATACAATGAACGTTTGAAATAATCAAAGATAAAATCTTATTTTCTTGAAAAATCATCTTCTAGAAAGTTGGCAGTTGCTTTGGAGACTTAACCATGCATATTACTCAAGAGGCTAACACTGTGAGGACTCATGTTTGTAATACTGGTGGAGGGAATCACTGAGCTGACACCACTGTCTTTGACCAAGGCCCATCAAACCACTACATTTACATAGGCCAGCTGTGTGCCATTTATAGGACATGTTGCTTCCGCAGCATCTGCATGCATTTCAGTGTTAAATAACAATTTGCACTTGTGTATTGATTTTGCTTTCAACCCATAATTTGCCTTACTGATGGGTTACGTTCAGAAGGCTGGATTACTCGAAAAGCCTCTAATCTGGTTTCCCTGACGCTGTGCTCCTGGGGACAAAATATAGTTTGCATTATGACCTTCTGTCTTCTTCACATCTTTCCATCAAGCTGATCTCTCCTCTTCCATTGGTTAATGGCATTTCTCTTCTTAATCTTTCTAGCCTCTATCCATCAGTCTTCCATTCTAACATGTTGTTGACACTCCTCTGTACTTCACTTGCTTCCTAGTTCAGCTTGCCCTGTCCAGTGACCTCCCCTTAACCACAGGAAATATATTCTAAGACCCACTCCACCACGTGGTTTTCCCACACGGGATAGTATTGAACCCCAAATAGGAGCTTCTTCTGGGTCTCCCATGCAGGTGAAGGGTCTGAGGGCTTTGTGAAATCCTCTCCTGCTTTCCCAAGCAACAAGTAGAAAGCTGAATGGGAAGCAGGGCCACTGGGATCAGAATCAGTGCTCACATGGGATCCTGGCACGCGCAAGGTGAGAACTTTAGCCGCTAGGCTACCACGCTTAGCACAGTATCTTGTTTTATTATACTATTCCTTCTTGTGATGCTGTGAATGATCCCATGCCTATGTGATGAACTCAAGTCAGGTGAATGATGTAACCGTTGAGAGGCAGTGTTACTTGGCTTCACAAGAATTACCTCTGAATAAATGTTGCTATACAATGAGAAATGATCTGCTCACAAAGGTGGCACTTAGTGACCAAAAGCCTGGCAGTGTATACGGTGGGAATCTACAAAGGGATGATTTACATCCCAGTCAGATGGCATGCAATTTAAAACCCATGAGTTACTGTTTTGTGACCATCAAGAATAGAATCAAACTTAAAAATTCTGAACTGCCTATCTAGGGAAATTTCCACTTAACAAATTTGGACCACAGTTGACTGTGAATAAATGAAACCATGCAAAATGAAATGAAACCATGGATACGGAGGGATGACTGTGTTTTGCAATAGCATTCACTCATTATGTCATAGTTGTTTTCAATTTTTAAATATTTAAAGGTTTTTAATTTGGAAAAGCATCATATTACTCTGAAAGAATGAAAAAAAACCTTCAAATCTTAAAGATTACTATTAGTAATGATAACATTTTTTCCCTCACCAAATTCCCTAGATTTGGTAAGGGCAAAAGAGAAATCAGTAACTAAAGGAGAGAGACAGGATGAATGAGTATGTGTGTGTGTGTGGGGGGGGGGTGGGTGTGTGTTAGAGA